TATTATAGAAAATACGTCTGGCAATTAGATTTGTATTCTACAAGCATAGAAATGTAAGTCCGCCTGCCAAATCCTTCGCGTTTATTTCTGTTTGTATGTCGAAAAAGCAGTCGTGATAAGGGCACGGGTATAGGGGTGGTCGGGTACCGCCAGCCTGACAGGGCCTGTCCAACGATTTACGGTATCAGTTACGTCGAAAAGTAGGCGACCACGCGAAATACCGCTCTCGAATAGTGCAGCAAAAATTTTATGAGAAACGTTCGAGCAAATAGCATTCAATTTCCATCGGTACGTGTATTCCATCCGCGAAAAAAAGCCCTGGTGAGCTATTAGCCGCGCCAAGGTATACTTTGCTCTTTTCACGAGGCCTCTAGCCACCAACGACAACGCGACCCTGCAGAGTGTTGGTCGAGCCCTCGACTTTGTGTGCACGGAAAGCCGCTTTGCGACGTCGACGAAGGGGACACGCGCTCCGGTTGGATACCAGCCATGATAATATGTAATGCCTGTATAGACTCGAGTCTCTCGATCGCGAATCTTTGAAGTCCGAACTGGCTCTTCCAGTCGGCGATATCCAAGCGTTAAAAATCATCGGCAAAACTATGAGAAAGCCAAACATGCGGCGAGTTGGTACTCATACTCAGGCGAACGGACTTGGCCAAGTCCTCATTCGTTCTCCCTTTTTTATTTTTTCGGTACGCGGAACGAGCACGTATATACCGGCGAGCACCTGTGGCCACTTTAAAACGATGCCGTGGTAAACGGTAGTCAGGATAGATTGAACGCTCCGATAGGGTTTTAGCTCTCTTCTTTTGCCGGTGAGGATCGGGACTCGCGCTTTTAACCCCTCAACTCATTAGAGACCATAACTCTGTTCGGCGAAACGTGTACGCCGCCGACCGGCGAACGAGGAAACACCGTTCGGTTATACTATATTTTAACATGCGATGCGCATCCTCCTTAGTTCGGAGGATACTCATGAAAATCGGAGCGAAAAACCGTGGTGGATCGTGGACGCCCTATGCTTCGCGCTTTTATAATAAAGAGACTCTCTCACTCTCAAAACTTCAATCACCTGCAAACCGGTGTTGGCTACATTGTGCTCCGAATAAAGAACAAAGATTCCTCCAGACTTTCTCGTCGAAACAATTTTATGCTCTCGAGTTGGAGTTTCGAAGACTCCAACCCTTTAATAGAAGCCTCAGGATGAGTAAGCAGCGGAAGGCTCCGGGTGATCCAACATTCTCAACCGGAATGAGATCTTGTTAACCGGTATACATTAATCGCGATAAGTCGCTTTCCAGACAATTCAACTCCAACGTCGTATAATACACGTAATTGTGCACGAACGATCGACGTTCGCGAAGTGTCATTATTCTTTTTTCATCCGGATTGCTCCTCCACCGGGGGTCGTTTTTTGGGATCGAAATTACGAGTACGACTAGGAGCAAAGGAGGGTTTGTTGCGCATTATTACCGTTTTTCGTCGCGGACCTCCCACCGTCCTTCTAACGAGACCACCGAAGATACGGGGAGTAAAAACCGCGCAAGAAACCCGCCAAAGTACGGCCTTTATACGGGACGTTTTATATCGTAGCGGATTCGATTGAGCACAGACGCTCCAATTATGGACGAATATATAAGTGGATCTCGTCGGACACGCGCTACCATCGCGATCCCTTTATATGGCTGAAACGATAGCGCGCTAAGTCCGTCATCGGGGTTCGGGGCGAATTTACTGTTAGACTTCGCCGTTGCTTGCCATCCGTGGAGAGGACAGCAATGATCTAGATGCGGTTTTTTGCCGGTGAGGCGCATTTGCGCCTCCGCGTCGCGTATGCAGACTCGTGCGTGCGGCTGAGTCTCCCCTCGACAAAAACGGAGACGCCTCTGATGCTCTCTATCGAAAATGCATTCAGGGACCACGGGTTAGGTAGACAAGTATGTATAAAACGCTCCTCTATGGTTGGATCTTCGTGCACTTACTGTTAAAGGTTAGGGAGAATTTAATTTCGTCCGAAGAAGACCAAAATGTAGGGGTCAAGCAAATATAAAAAGCTTTTCAACTCTCTTTTCTACCACTCGAATTAACCCCTTGTGCTACGATTTATTCTGGAACCGTGGATACCATAGTCAGGTATAAAATCTCTTGTGCACGTTCATACAACGTGTCTGACTCGTGTTTTCCATGTTCGACTCGAATTCCTCATCACGTGTCACACAGGTTGTTATAAGCTAAAGGGTTAATATCGAATCGACATCGCGATCTTAAATGAACATCCCGCGTCCTCGACGACCATCCAGGTCGAGAATGACGTTCCGAGTCGAAAGAAGTCCGCGGAAAGCATGCGTTACATAATGAATTCCTGTACGCGTTTGGATAAACCGTGTACAATAAAAGGATAGTTCCCCGTGGCGCATTGTCCGAGAATTAATTAAAATGGCGCGAGAACAAACGGCCACGAAAGTCGACGAGGAAAAGAAAGCTCTCGCGGCTCTCCTTGGAATCCCAACGGCGACATATCACTGGGCGGTAGATCACACGGGGCTCTTTTGCAGTTTGCACCGGGACGGATAAAGCGCTGCAGCGGCTGCAGGCTCCGACGCGTCTTTTACGTATGCACGAGCATAAGCATAACGCAGGGGAACATGGGTAGATGATATCGTGGATGCACCTACGGGGCCACGGGGCGTCGACGCGATTCCTTTGTCCTCGTTCCTGGCCGCTCGGTCTTCTTGCTGCAACCGCCTTCGCCCCCGGACGACCTCTTGGTGCACATTTTGTTCGCGGAAATACCGCGGGGCTCCAATCTCGTGCATCAATCCCGCCGGGCTTGGAATTGTATCAAAAGAAACACACTGCGCGCCGGCTACCGCACTGGGAACCGATTACCATCTCATCTATTCCGAGATGGTTGATATTCTTGTTCGCATTCAACGTTCTTTTTATTCCACCTCACCTTTTAGAGACACAAGTATCCACGCGGCAGCGAGTTGTAATTACTTTAATCGATGTGATCTCTGATCGCCGCGATCCTCCGTAACCCGCATTACAAAACACGCTTGATGCGCTTTCGCGGTAGCGTTTAGTACGCGATTAGCAATTTTCGGTCATTAATCGCACGAGCGTTGCCTCTTTCGCGGTCTGACACCCACAATGGAGAGCGTGCTGGTAACACGGATGAGACTCATGTACGAACAATTGATTAATTACTCAAATTTATCGAATAGGACAAGCGTGTGAAATATTATAGAATAGATTCTCTAGGACGGTTTGAATTTTCACATGCCTTAATTTTCATTTTAAGGAAGAGTCACTATCAGATACATTGAAATGCTTAAGCCAAGATACGAGAAACGATTAAAGGTGTTTAACTGCGAATCTCGAGCGAAACGTTTGACCGTTGATGCTCCGAAGCGGGTCGGGCTCGATCATTACTCGTCGTTTCATTAGAATATCGTCGATAAAAGGGGTTTAATTATAAAGGCACCGGGACGCTTCCTGTATGCGGTCACGCATACATATACATGGACAGTGGTGAATGTTGCACGCACACCCGCCCTTTGCGCGGTCTCCTCTCGTCTTTCCTACCTAGCCTACATTTTTAACCACCGTAGGCGATTACTAAGGCCGTTTTTTTTAATTACGAAACATTGTTGTGAGGAGCCGTTCTTGATACAGCCGAGCGATTATCTAGATAATCGTATGCGAGATTATGAAAATTATGCAAATCACGAAGTTCCTCCCAGCTCGTACCCGTACACGTCGGCAAACTATTACGATTAAATCAACGCTGTTCAAACATTTAACTACGTCATTTCATTTTGTATTAAGCAGCCATTTTTCTCCTCTACCATCGCCGGATGAAGATATGCAGCGATTATCATGCAAACAGGATTTTTTTAATGCATGCCTATGAATATTTTTTCTACTTTAGCATCCATGACAACGGCATGCAAAGCTAATAGAGTAACAGGTGTTTTTGATACGCATCGATGAATTTACAAAGGAAAAAAATTGATACTTTGTCTATGGAATGGTGTCGTCCTACTTTTCGATACCTTTAACTCGCTATGTCCCTGTTCTCGCGTCAAATATTACGTAAAGCAATTTGACCACACCTTCGAATACCTTTAAAACAATTTCTATACCTTACCAAGTCCTGTATCGATGACGATGCAAAGTCTCGTACCGATATCTACATTAGTTTTCGTTCTATGAAATTTCAAAACTGTTCCAACTTTTCCAAAGCTAAACTTTTTTAAATCTTGTCGTTTAAAGGCAAGATCCGCATTTATTCGTACCATTTCGCGCGACAGGTTTGCATGGCGGATGTTGGCGTTGATGGAATATAACGCGTCGGACTGTTAAAAGGTTTCACGAATCGTCTATTTGCGCGAGCAAATCAAATATCAGGCTCGATCGTCGCGCGTTCAACGCGCGCGGCGTTCGCAGAAGTGAAACTCGCTATTCATCGTCGCGGTCGTTTTCATGTGTGCTGCGCGACGTGGGATGCGAGCTAACAGTTGGATTCGCGCGATACACCTAACCGTCCTGTCTACAGCACAATTATAATGCAATATAATTGAGTCGTATTATGCGTTATGCATGAGGTGTAACGATTGCACTCGTTACTAATGATGTTAACAATTTTTTTTTCGTTGCGACGCAATTGTGATTACAGTTCGTTAGCGTGTTATTAAGATAGAAATTACAGGTTGCTTGAGTGTATGCATTTTCACGCATACGTAATCCCTATTTCCATTTTTAAGCAGCAATTAGGAACATCGTTGATTCGTTGCGAAAAGATTTTCACGTATTATCGCGTATAGTGTGTCGGTGTACCTTGTCCATAGCGCTATTCAAATGCAAGGAAACTATTTAGGTTAGTCGCATGCTCACAACGGAATCGCGGTTTAATTTCGCGGGGATTGAACTCGTTGTTTCGCGCCAAGTAGCACAGATGTCTTTTTTATCGACAGCGCGGAGCGCAACCGCTCCGGTGGCGCTAGTGTCCCAGCCAGTAGTGACAAGATGGCGACGCCCAGCGAGCTGTCTCTCGAGGAGATACGGAAACATTTATTGGAAAACGGTGGTACTGCTCGCAATCATGACGTGGTGAAGCATTTCAAGAAGTTCCTGACGGATCCCGACACCCGAGGTACGTCAAAATTCCTTTATAGACCGTGGCGAACTAACTGTCTCGTTTCTTCGAGGTGTGACCTCGATGCTAACACGGTGCGCTGTGTGTAAACACAGGACAGAGTTAATACTTGTCACACTCGGTGTCGAATATAACGACAGTCAGTGAACAGTGCACAAATTCACGTTACAGTCGAAGCACGGAATCGGTTCAAGGAGTATGTAAACACCCTGGCCACTATAAAGAACGAAGAGGTGCGTCATCGAGTATCTATTCCCTTCCGCCTTGACAGGAGCGACTTGTTGCGCGCCATGCGACGTTGCCAGGTTTACGCATGTATCGCGCGACTGATAAGAAACTCGTTATCTAAAGAAACTTTTAATTTACCGTTTCGCGTATGCTTCTTTTCTTTGCCATACGTGTTTAATTTATTGCTCGCGTAATTCATCATTACTAACGTTACGAGGTGTTTAAATATGCAAATGACTTATTTGAGTGTCTCTCAAACTTCAAATTCAAACTCCTATACAGTAACATTAAATTCCTCTATATCGTCTACTTATGAATTTTAGTGAAATGTATTTGTTTCGAATCTTTTCTACGTTGTTTACTAAAAGAATGCTCCAAAATACATGTAGAGCAAAATGGGATCTCTAGACACAAGTTTGAGAAACACTGGTGCAACAAAGAGGGTTCAGTTCGCGCAAACGTGTCGCGAAATTCGAGTTTTCAATAGTGTCTACTTCGTAAACTATGGCGCTCGTCGAAACCGGTCGCGTCGCTCCGTTCGTTCGTCCAAGTGTAACAATCTGAGAGAAACTATTTGCACAGGGGGAAAAGTATTTGGTCCTGAAGAAGAAGTATCGACAAACTCCTCTGGGGTTTTCGTCTCAGGAGCAAATGACATCTCCTATCGCCACTCCCGACATTGCTAGCCCGATTTCACCTGTAAGATCTCCTCCACCGTACCGGCCTCCGCCCCCTGCACCTTTAAGTCCAACAGCAGGCAACTCCACCACGATTCACGAGGAATCGTGTTTGAATATTGCGCGCGATGGGGACGGTATCGATGCGCGGAAAAATGGCGTTGACTGCGTCGAGACCGGATTTTCAACGTCCTCGCCCCCCGTGCCACCGCGCCGTAAAAGTCAAGATAAGATCAAGATCGAGAATAAGGAGAACGTCGACAGGAACAGGGGTGTATCCGAAGCGGTTATCAAGGTGAGTTTTTTCCACGCATGTACTATATGTATATGTGTACGTAGTGGTGGAGAAAGCGTGAAATTTTGTCGACGTTTTGGCGCGAGGAAAGGGGTTGTAGATGGCGCCAGTCGAGCCTGAGATGGCTTTCGTTTCGTATAATTTACAGGTTGGGTGCAAAGCTGCATTCAGTTTTTTTTTTTATTTTTATCTTGAAAAATTGTAACCAATTTTGTATTATCCAGAGAAGAAGCGTCGCATGAAAAGCAAAATATCACGTTTTCTTTTGTTTTAGCACGCTATGTAGTATGTTGTCTATAGATTCCCGGTTGTGGTTCCATGTACACGTGAATAGAATTTGCAAATGATAAAGTGGTGAAACACGTATTCGCTTTATCGCGTAGTTACTTGTGACCAGATAATTTCGGCATTATTGTGGAACACTGTTGTGTGTACATTGTATGATTATGTTGAAAGGTGTTCACGGTTTGGTAAACGTCATTTAAGCGGCCGTAATAGCGGATGTAGTACACGAAACCATTGTTCCTCGTCCCGCACCCCTACTGTCTCGTTAAGAATGCACGCTTTATGTGAAATCAATCCCTGTTTAGAGCCACTAACGAACAATTAAATTATTTTGATTCTACAGTTTTCGTCGATAAAAATTAATTCCACTTATGTCCTTACATAAGAAGTAAATTCTTAGTTATGAGATCTAAAACAGTTTACAATTTATAGATGAAAAGAAGATTCTACTCTTTTTACCTAAAGACGAAGTAGTGTCTTCGATTAAAATAAAAGGACTCTCTACGAAGATGGACAAACTTTTTGGTCTTCCAATGTTCACACTTAAACTCACTTTCGAAAACAAATTGACCCGTTATGTTCCTCTAATATTCGGACTCGGGATTGGAGTCAGAGCTGGCTAGAACATCGTCATTTCATCGCTAGTCCCCTCCTTGTCATGCTTGCACGGCACACGATCGACCCCCTGTACGGTAGCATTGCCTTGCTTTAATTAGAAGCACGAAAGTATGCCATAGTTAGCGAGCACGCTCCGTTTTCTGTATCGTCGTAACTCCCAAGTTTCCACGGTTCGCGAATGGTTGTAGCCGCCCTATTTGTCGCTGTGTTTGTCGCTGCTTCTACGTTTAATCAGTACAGTTGAACGTAGTCGCGAACATGATCCTATCCTATTGAGATTCGGCAATTCGACGATATTGAAACGTGCAGGAAGATGAGGCTGTCGCGGCGAATCCGGGCTCGACCGAGCAATTAAGCTTCCGCGAGCGGATGCAACGTTTCAACCGGATGGCTAGCGAGACCGATCTTCAAGGCAGGCCTAACGGCTCTCTCACACCCACTAAAAAGCGATCAGACAAGGTAATCAATAACTCCTTTCTTTCTAATATCTGCACTGTGAGTTCAGGCGTTCAGGGCACATGCACCGAGAGAAATCAAAATATACAGGGTATCGTCGATAAGTGTCGCGGGGCCAAGACTGCGCCGCGACATTTATCGAACAAATCGTCGCGAAAAGTAATACAGCATATCACAAAACAGCATAATAGAGAAAAATACACTGTAATACAGAATATTCCAGCATTACAGAGCATAATACAACGTGATACACTATACCACAAAACAGCATAATACAGCAAAATACTGTGTAATGCAGGATATTCCAGCATAATAATAATCGTTCGCTATATATATACATCCTCATATGGAATGAAATAGTACTATTACCAACGTTGACTCACGAACGATATTCTCCATACATTTTGTATTGTGTTCTCCTGGTTAACATAAGCCGTAAATCGTATTAAATTCGCAGTGTACTAATATGTTTCTGTCTCGTTACTGAACATTTGCACGCTTTCACCGGGGCGCTGGTTTCTCACGTCATTGTACAGGAGTTCACAATAATTGTTTCTGCCCGATCGTCCGACGGAATCATGCCTCGTAACCTATTCAGTTTCATTGACTAACAAATCTGCGCGGCCATTCTTTCGAGTACATTCCGTGGCAAGGTGCGCCTCTAACCGCCTAATCGCGATCGGTAATCGGTGCCTCGTTAAATAACAGAGTCCGACGATTGCAAAGTATACTCGAGGCTTAACGTACCCGCGATACGCTCGGAGAAAGTAACGTGCCGGCCATCTTGCACAAATTTCCCGAATAATAATAGAAAGACTGCTCGACGTGCACCTGCAGTCGCTAATAATGTTCCACATCTACCATACACACACATCTAATCTATTTAACTTATTCTTAGTATATTTCATCTGATTTATTCAACTTATTCTTAGTATAATTCATCGCACTGACATTCTACATCCCGTATAAAATATCGACAAATTACTCTGCTCTAACAGAAAGTTTACGCTATCCGACTGTGATCTTCACGCGGATGTAATTCATGTGAGAACACGCGTAGAGGATCTCCTTATCTATTAAACAAGTATCCTTTATTTCGCCCCGATAACCATCGACTAAAACACGAGGAGTTTTTAAACGTTTCGTCTTCGAATCGCGACCACCATCTACAAGACGCGTCAAACTTAGCACCGTGCAAGACTGTGTAAAAAGTAAGAGCGCGAACAAAATTATTTCGAATGACGAAGTTTCGATAGAGCCAACAGGACTTCTTAAAAATGGCTCTTCGTGCAACCACTTGCAGGACCACATTTTTAACACACATATGAGAACAAAAATTGACTTGAGTTTTAAGACGCATAAACATTGTGCAAAGTTAAAAATCTGAACTTGCATTCGGCATCTTTGATATTAATTCCCAAGGGAAACCTCGTTTCGGAGCAATTCGACTGCCTAACCCCTAAATGCTCAAATGGAGGCGTATCGAATAGTCGACTCGCGAGGATACGCATCCTTTAGCGAGGAAGGGACGCCGCGATGCGTACAGGTCCGACTGCCCATCTTGCATACCGAATAGACTACTAAGAATCCTTTTCTCGTATCCTTTACACGCGCGCCACCCTCTCGCCGCACGGCTCCACGCGTTTCTTTTCCCCTTTTCTACCTCTCTTTCTCTTGTCTCCTCTTGTCGTTGTTCGTGCGCCGTTTATCGCGGCGAGCAATATTCATCGCATTTGAATATCCTGCGGGCGGTATCTCGCGTACCGATCAGGATGTTGCGCCGATGTTGCCGTAAATCATAATTAGCCGCGCCTGAAAATTAAAAGTGGAGGAGGCGGAGAGGGTGGAGAGGTTCCTTTCCGCCGCAAAAGCTTGCACGAGCGCACCGCTCGTCCTTTACGCGGCCGATTCTACATCATCGTCTCGATATGTTTATCGTGCCGAACGATTAAAAGGACCGGCCACGCGGCAATCGGAAGGAAGGAGCGCCATCCTACTCGCTGGGGCTCGAATACGGCGCAGCTTGAGGGTATAGAACTTACTATATTAATCGTCTCCTTTGGTTACAAGAGTATCGCTCCCTCTTTAGGAATGGATGGAAAGGATTTTGTTAAAATTGAAATAGTTATGTTACAGTAGGTGTGACTATAGAAGAGGAGGTTATATCATCATTCTGCTATTGTAAATACAATACAATACGCAGATCTTTATGAAAACTGCCTCTTAAGTTGCTTTTAAGATGGGAAAATTGTGATTTAAACCTCGTGAGTCGCCACGTGAACTGCACTATATTTCAATTTGACTAACGTCCCCGACATTTTAGTCTCTAAGTAAAATTCTGGACTTTGCATCGATTTCCTCGGAACTAATTTCCAAGGAAGACCCTCATCTCGAAGCAATTTAATTGCCTACTCCCTCCAGGCTGCATACTCAAATTTTCTACTTCTTTCCGTCGAAAAGCATCCAAGAAAACGTGACACTCACAAGTAAGGGTATCCACCGGAAACACAAATCGCTTTCGGGCACATTCGTCCGCACACCTCGCCGCAAAGAAGCTCGCGGGTGGCGCGTGGGACCGCGAGAATTGTTCATTATTCAAGAGCCTACCGTCCATTTGTGACGGACCGCCTTTCATGTACATGAATTCAACTGGGCGGTTGTTCATGTTTCTTAGTCGCGAGCTAGGGGTTTCGGGGCACGCCGATCCTCTCGCCTCCGGACATCCTGTAATCTCTTGGGAGCTGGAACCTTCCTCGTCGGAGAACTTTCTTTACCGAGAATTATCATGCACCGTGGCTACGGCATTTCGCCCCTCGCATCCCTAATGACCCCTTCGTCTAGCGTTGTGTCGCGTGCCGCGGTCGTTCGCCGGCCAATCGCCACGTAAACACGTTTCACGTAATTTTCCGGCGTGCCTTCTTCGAAAGGCTCGTTATGAGTCATTGAATGCACAACAGTTACGTGCCCAAGATGGCTTATGGTAACCGTGACGTCGACAATTAGACACTGGGATCGTGATCGACGGAAACCCTCCTTGGAAAACATTTGACTTATGGGAACGCAAGATCACGTCGTGGGCTCGAGTTGGTTTCTGTACGAGCAAAGTTTGTTACGACATTTTGATTCTATCACTTTTGGGCCTTTTGCATTACATAAAAAAATGACGAATGGAAAATGTGTAACAGAAGTTGTAAGTGAATATATTCAGAATTATTTTGTGTTGGGACCAGAATGTGATTTAAGGGATAATTCGCTGAATTTTCGAAATAAATGGGAAACTATTAGAAAAGGTTTTGAGCCTCGCGTTAACGAAAGGAAATATTAAAACGATGCCACGGAGTTAATGCGGCTGTTCGTAGTCATCGCGCTTCGGGGCTACGGAGCTCGCTCGTTTTTATGTAAATACGCTGAAAATGTGGGTGGTAAAGAATACTATTAAGAGTTGTATCTTCGTGAGAATTTTCGTAATCGTTTGTATATTCTTCACCGCTTCCCCGAAAACGGTATCTGATGCAACGGCGTGTTTTGAAATTTGTGAGCACCACTCGAAGCCTCGCCGCGCTTTTACAAACTCGTTGAATCCCGTTTACGTCTCGGAAAACGTGGAAAAGACAGAACCGTGAGGAAGGAAACCAAGCATACTGTAATCCGACAAAAACGTTAAAATACTATTAGCTCGGGACTAAACCAAGAATTTTCTTTCGATAATTTGTAAAACTAGAGAAACGTAGCCTTTTTAACGCCGTATATAATATTTTTCTGTCATCTGCTCTTTCGCCAAAAGACGAACGCGCTTTCATCCCTCTTCGTTGCGCATGTTAACGCGCGAGCGCCGAGGGCGTCTCCGCGATACGCCTAACAAGAAACCCGCTTTTACTTCGACACCTCGAGGACGCGTTCTAATTAGGATCACGCGTGTTCGCCTCTTCTACGGGGGCGAGTCTTGTCGGGTAGTTCCTCCTTTCCGCATGGCGGGCGAAAGAGGCAGGGAGGCGGGGGGTGGCTAGAGATACTCATCGTAAAGGCACCTAACACGGCCATGCCGAACTTGGAATTTCTCTCGTATAGTTCCGCATACATTAGGGACCCTTGGTGAAACTTGCAGGGTAGTTTGCCTCCTGGCGAAAGGAGCGAGGTCGTCGAGGGCTGAGGCGCGCCGGTGCTGAAGGACGAGAGCAACGGGAGGGTGGGGTTCGAGGGTGTAAACCGCACAAAGTAATCTTACAGAATGTATATGCAAAGAGGTTCACTGGCAGAACGCCGGCGGAGAGGGTTAGAGGGGAGGGCACAGCTTGCATGATCCCATCCGCGACAACACCGACAAGACACCTCCAGAGGCAAACTTACCTCATAGTTCGAAGACTCTTCGACCTTTGCTCGCTGTCGGTGTCTTCGCTACGGTTTTTACCCTGTTTTCTTTCCGGAATTTAATCAATAAGTACGGGCATATACGCGTCGAGGGAATGCTAGTCGTATCGAATAGGGTACACGGTTTTGCACTGAATACCGAGATGAATTAACTCCGTGCTACGTGATACATTCTTAGGCGTTATTAAAATAATAACTTCTTTATTTTTTCGCAAGGGGTTAAGAGGAGATCGCAAACTTCTGAGATGAAATCCTCTGCAATTTTTCATTGGTTTAGCACTCTGACTTTACGTGGATACGCTCTTCTACCATTTATTTTATTTTCTAACTCCTTGCGTACAAAAATAAAATAGGTATCCATCTTCGCTGCCAAACATTTAACTCAACACACCTGCTAACTGTATAACAATTTTATAGCGTGAACTCTTTGAAGGGAACGAAAGAACAGAAAGAAACCTGGCACACTTATTAAGGTTACCACTCATTTGCCTCGACGAGCATTTAACGGCTTCAAAGCATAATAACAGCCATACTTTATGCCCGGTATATTATCGAGCATCCATCACACGACGCGTGAAGGCGCTCAAATTGAATTCACGAGCTGACCGGACACTTTTTCGAGCGATGATTTGTCG